TACTTCATTATTCTGATACTGTTAATCTCAGTGGGAGGAATTCAAATGATACTTTAAAGTTACCAACAGTGATAAATTCAGCTTGACAGGAAACACATCATGCTTTTGCAATGAATGACAGAAAAGATGCAAAATAAATACCTATACAACATAGATAACAAAGTCTGCCAGATTTCTGCTTAAAATAGCACAGTCTTTTGACAGTATTAAGAAGACCTTGAGTGTACTGATCTCCAGCTTATAAAAAAATAAAAGGCTATGGTTCTTCTAGAAGACATTAAAAGGTGGTACATGACTGAAGGACACTACATCCAAGATGCAATCTGAACATTTGATTCAAGTCACCCAGGGTGGAACATGTTGTAGAAGTGCTGACCCAGCTCCTGGGGAATCCAACAGGAAGGACAACTTTCTCATAGATTTCTTCAGTGTCAACCTAGGCTACATCAAGTGTAATTTATGGGAACTTTCTGAGTGACTCATGTTTAAATTCACTCTGTTTTTATTATTTTGGCCTATGTTCGCTATTTGTGATGAAGAGAACTTTTTATCAGAGGATTTTTAGGGGATTTTTATGGTTCTTTCAGCAAGGGGATCATATCCTCTCTGTGGAAAGGGTTTCTCAGAAAGGGAAGTCAGTCTGTAGAAGTGGCTTTTCTGCAGCAGTGACTGACAGTCTCCTACTACAGGAGATCGATAACCCGGTTGCATGAGCTCTGAGCATGTTAAGGCTTACTGCTAGCAAGGGAAGGAGGGCAGAGCAGAGCCTGAAACACCCTACGTGCTTCCTTATCGGCCAGAGAACAAAGAGCATGGCATCCTCCCTCCCCAGCCCACTGGTAGGATTCTCTCCTGTTTCAGAGCAGGATAATACGTGCGGGAATTGTGCAGCACACTCGGATGGGCTGGGGGCGTAGGAACAGGTTTGGTGTGCAATTCAGGTTGGAAACGCGCCTCACTGGATTAGTGTCATTTACCTCGGCTCCTGCTGTAATTGCTCTGCTTGCTAGCAAGTCACATTGAGAAGACTGAAGGAAATTTGGATTCTGCATTCAATTACGGGGCTTAATGGCTCTACAAAATATTATGCATTGTAGGAATACACAAGAGTAGTGGATTTATGCTCACATGCTTGCATATCAAAAAGAAGATTGCATTCCAGAGAAAGCAATCTCCTTAACTGAGAGTAAGAAGCTTTAAAAGATCTTTGGCTTGAATGAAAATGCCTTCTTTTTGGAGCCTAGCCCACATCCCTAGGTATAAAGTCCACTAGGACTCTGTGAGAACATCTACAATGAAACCATGTCCTTTGTCCAAGCTGAGGGACTGCTCTGGATTCAGTGTTGGAGTGCTACTCCTGCCTTGCTAAAAAAGGAAATGAACATCCCGAACTTTTATTTGCCAAAAGCTATTTGTTTGCAAAGGAAAATGTCAACCAACATTTATTGATACCACCAAAAAAAAAAAAAATTTCCTCTCAGTGCTAGCTTTCAAATGAAACTGACTTAGTCTTAGCAAAACACCTCAGGAATAAAACGGCTACCCATTTTCTGCTGTTATATCAATAACAGTACATCAAAACAGTGTATCTATAATCAATATTGTATACAGGAACTAGTCATGGCAGGTAGTCACTTGTTCACAGGATGAAATACGGTGGTCTGATCCTCTGATTTTACAGCAAGGCAGCAAAATTATTTTCTGCTGTGGTTTTTAAGAAAACACTTATTACGTGAAATGGAAAAAAAAAGAAAGGCCACATAGCCCAGCATGACTTTTGCCCTTAGCATAGCTTTGCAATGCCGTCTTTGAGTTGACAAAATAGTTTTGATATTTCAAGTGCGTGTCTTACTATACTTTACCCTTCCCCTCAGTTTCAAGGCTAGTCACAGCAACTGGATTACCTAATCAGTGTATTTGCTTTGAATTGAGAGAATTTCAAAAACGCGGTGCCATGAGCTTTACCCCCTCTTTTTGCTTAGGATTTTCTTTCTTCAGAGATTGAGCTTAACTTGGACTGTAATGAAAAGTGAATTTTATATTACTTGGTTTTTTTTTTTTTTTTATCATATAGTTTGGACAAGGACAGAAATTGTTTACAGTTGTTAATACTCCAAGAGTCCAGCACCGTCTACTTAGTTCTTTTCTATTTAGCCAATATTATTAGGTCAACAAATTTAAAACTTTCCTAGCAAGATATTTGCTTTTTAAACATACAACACCAGTGAATCAGATTCTAGTGCACTGATAAAAAGTATTGCAATCCAGTTTGGTTTTTTTCTGAAATTTATTTTTTCACTTCCAGAAGTTTCTTGGGTCCCATTTTCCTAGAAAAGCAACCTGTAATTCTATATCTTCATAAGTGGCAGTGCACACACATAAGACAAGAACTATTCAGCTTCATCCAAAATTCCTTTTTTGGATTTCCTTCCTGAAAACATGATGAGCAGTTCATAATCTTCTTGTAAATTATTATAAGCTCAAAGTAAACACCACATACATTTCTGTTTTAAAGGCATCTTTAATCTTTTTAACCATCTTCATTATTGTAAAGCCTAGGGATTGATGAAGCGTGGGATCCTCAGTTTGCTTCATCTCACCAGAATCAACAAAAGGCTGCTTGTTGTCTTGCCTCCTGCCACACCTGGGGATGGAGAGTTCTCTTTTTTTTTTTTTTTTTTCCAGGTCAATGGGACAGAAGGAAAGTGGAGAATTCCTGAGAAAGGGATTTGTGAGAAACAGACAAGTAGGAACACTGCATCACCAATTTAGTTTGGTTCACACTGCTGTGAAGCAGCAATTTGCAGGTGTGGTTCCTCAGTGTAAATCCAGCAGCCATATGAAGGGAGTACCTTGCTTTCCTGCAGGTTCACTCTTCCCCACTGCAAGGAGTAACAAGGCAAGCCAGACAGCCAGACTCTGCTGTCTTGAAACTAAGTTGAGCTTTTGTAACACAAAGGCTGTTTTCCCCATCTATCTTCTAGCTGTCCTTGCCTGCTCCAACTCTGGTAACTGCTGAATCCCAGAGTGAGAAAATTTAGGAATCTGTATCAGCAAAGAGCTAGTTATGCGATTTCAAAAAAGGGAGAAAAATGAATCAAAATATTATCTTTCTGAACTGTTTAAGTGGAGATAAATAAAAACCAGCTCTGGTGTATGGAAGGGAAGAAAAGGACTGTCTGTATCAGCAGTGGCCTCCAGTTTAGCATGAGGTGAACCCTCTCAATATCAGAGGGGCAGGAGGCCAATGTCACTGTCCATGGCTACTGATGGAGGTTGTCACGCTTCCCATCTTCCAAGTCCCATGCTTCTCTGCCTGTAGGACTCGTGAGCCAGCCCAGCTCACTGACACCAGCTCTGTCATTTAGCCCATTAAATCAACCCCAGTGATCAATGTGTGCAGGGTCTGGCATGGGGGACAAGATAGGGGCCAAGTGGAGCAGCTAGGGTGGGAGAAGGGGAAGAGTGACCTCCTCTGCTTTCCTTTCCCTGCATGTGAAAGCCATAATTGTACCTTCAGAAGCCTCAGAGGCCAATGCAGAGGGACAGAGAGGACATGACTGCCTTCCCACCATCAAGGGGACTTGGACCAGTTTTAACTGGCCCTGAAACAGCATCTAAAGTCACAGCCCCTCACTTAAGAGTCTCTGTTTTAATTCAAGTGGATTCCTGGCACTCTGCATGTGGGTCAGCCATGCTGGGGCTTTACTTGGGAAAATGCCATCCATGAACAGTTCCTCCAGTTCAACTGCATATCCATGTGCAGTTCTGGGCTTCTCAGCACCAGAAAGGAGCTACTGGAGACAGTGCAGCAGAGGGTCACGAAGATAATTAGGGGTCTGGAGCATCTCTGTTATGAGGAGTGACTGCAGGTGCTGGGCCTGTTTAGTCTAGAGAAGAGAAGACTGAACGAGGATCTCAGTAATGCAGATAAATTCTCTAAGGCGGATGCCAAGAGGATGGTGCTGGACTCTTTTTCGGTGGTGCCCAGCTACAGGAGGAGGAGCAAGGGCCATAAATTAAAACAATGGCCATAAAATAAACACAAGAAGTTTCACCTCAGCATGAGGAAGAACGTGTTTATGTTGAAGATGGTGGAGCCCTGTACCAGGCTGCCCAGGGAGTTTATGGATTCTCCCTCTCTGGAAACATTCAAAATACGTCTGGATGTCTGCCTGTGTTATCTCCTTTAGGTGATCCTGCCTTGGCATGGGGTTGGACTAGATGATCTCCAGAGGTCCCGTTCAACCCTGTGATTCTGTGTTAGTAAGAGTGCGGAAAGTCCGATGGGGTGCGCTGGATTTATGGAACAGCACTGCGCACCCAGGCTTGCACAACTCTGAATTCAATAATCCGTGTCTCTCTGGAGTGTGGTTGCATTCCGGATAAGGAACCCGACTTTGCGGACAGCAACGCTGCAGAGCCAACCACTCCGGGAATACTGGGAATGGCTCCACGGTGATGTCCCCACCTTACACCTGGGCACTGAGCAAGGCGGGAGGGGTTGCAGGGCATCGCTAGGCAAAGCCGGGACCGCGCTCGGAAGGGGGGAGAGAGGAAGGCAGGGGAGCACCCAAGCATCCCAGCACCTTTCACTCTTCCCCTGTTCTTCCAACACTTTCCCTTTCTCCGCAAGAGCGCCGGACCGGCACGGCGGGGATCAGCGGGGCGGAGGGCGCATGCGCCTCCCACTGCCGCCGGACACGACCCGCAGGGGTCCCGGGGGAGCGCCCGGCGGGAGCGATCACTGCCCGTCCATCCATCCGTCCGTCCGTCCATCTGTCCGTCCATTCTTCCATCCCGCCGCAGCGTGGGGCAGGAGGCGGGCGCGCGCGCTCTCCCGGGGGAAGCGGGAGCCGCGGCGGGAGGCGGAGCCGCGCGGGCCCCGCCCGGTGTGTCCGCCTGGCGCCGGCCGGGGTGGCAGCGGCGGCGGCGGGAGGCGCAACTTGCACGGGACGGAGGCGGCGCTGCCGCCGCAGAGCCCGGCGGGGGAAGGCGCGGCGAAGCGTGAGCGGCTCTCTGGGGGACTCTCCCGGCCCGGCCCGGCTCACGGTGGGGGGGAGCGGGCGGCGCCGAGACTCGCCGGGACGAAAGTTTGGGAGCCGCCCCGCGGGCGGGCAGGAGGGGCCGGAGGCCGCGGTGTCAGGAGCATGAGAGGTTCGCCGCGGCCTCGCCGGTGCCCGTGAGAGACGGCCCACAGATCTCTCCTCGGGCCGGAGGAGAGAAGGCAGAGCGAGCGGGGGCGGTAGCACCTCCCCGGGGGACCCCAGGAGCCCGCGGCCGGGGTGCCTGCGAGCCCCTCCATCCGCAGCGCCTGTTCTCGAGCTCTATTTCCCGTTCCCCGGCGGGGGAAGAGGAGGGGCGGCGGCGGGGAGCCCTGTCGGGATCCCTCGGGACGGCGCGGGGGCGGCTGGAAAGCCCTGAGCAGGAGTGAGCAGCTCCCACCGAGCCCGGCACAGCAGCGCCGCGTTCCCTTCCCGCCGGGGCTTCCCCCTGCGGGGCCGCGAGTGCGCATGGGGGCGGCGGGCGCGGAGCCGGGAGCGCCGGGAGCGGCTCCATGAGGACAGCAGGCCTGTCCGCGCCCCCGCCGCCCGCCCTGCCCTGCCCGCGCTTCCGACCCTGAGGCCCTCGGCTCGCCTACGAAGAAACTTTTCCGCAGCGTCCGAAGATGGAGCCTGCCGGCATGGATTATTTCTGCGAGCAGGTACAGCAGAAGGACGTGGGCCGCAGGATGCAGGTCGGCCAAGAGCTGCTGGAGTACCTGGGCGACCCGGCGAGGTCCCCCGATCTGGAGCAGGACCAGCAGCGCCTTGACAAAGTGATCGACGAATTAACAGCGTGGGTCAACTCCAGTAATTTTAAGGTAAGGCTGCTCGGCGGGTCTCGGTCCAGGAAGACCATGATTCATCATGGTAGGGAGGTACAGAGCCCCGGGTTACTTTTTTAATCAGGTAAGAGCAGAAGTAAAACTACATTTGTGCCAGTATTATCCCTCCCCTCACAAAGGGGAATTCCGAAATTTTGGAAGGGTGGTTAATGTTTTATTGTGTCTATCCTTAAAAAAGCAGTAATATGGGTTTTGGTTTTGCCTTTATTGTTGGCTGGGTGGTGTTTTGGTTTTGGTTTGGATTTCAGGGTTTTTTCACGGCATTATGTTAAACCCCCTCACCCCTCCCCCCCGCAACTATAAGGCTCACTCGGGTTGTGTTTCTTACTCAGAAACAAGAGAGATGATGATTATTTTTCTTATTTTTTCCTCGCTACCACTCCCCTTCCATGGTCTCTGCACTTGGGTGTAGTGTTTCATGGGGTTGCCATCGTTTTCTGCAGGCCGTAAAGAGTGCTGCTCCACCGGATTTGTATCACGCTGCGTGTATTTTAGGCGATTTAAGGAATAATTGGCTTCTTGGGGTTCCTACTGTGTGTTGAAAGTTGTTTATATCGTCTTTAGGTGACTTTCCCGTACCTGGGAAGTTATACAGTATCCTCACAGCGGCCCGATGATGACTCACGTTTCGCTTTTTCCTGTGTGCGTGTGTCTTTTAGACGGAGCCACGGGAAAAGAGCGATCACTCCCTCACACAGCGTTAACACTTGCGAGTTGTTCTGACGTCGGTCAGCCGATAAGGCGATTGACAGCGCAGTTTTTGTGCCAAGGACAATCGTGTTCGCATTGGCGATTTTTTAATTTTATTTATTTATTTTGAATTTCGCCCTCCCCGCGGTGCGTGTGCGCGGCGCGGCCGGGGCAGGCCCGTGCTGCCGCCGCCGGGGGGCGCTGCCGGGCCGCGCTGCGCGCCCGGGGCTCCCGGGCGGGCCCGCTCCGCCCTGCCCTGCCAGTGTGATCCGCCCGCACTTTGGACCTTTAAACTCGCTGCTCTGAGCTTGTTCTCGCTTTTTTTTTCTGTTTTCTGAGACACAGGAGGAGGGCGCAGAGCAACCTCGAAGGGCAACGTGTTCCTGAAGTGGAATTTTTGTTTTCCTTCTCCATTTGCTTTAATCCGCCAGTGTTTGCACGTAGCAACTTCTGAGATTGAGGTCTGAAAATAATAAAGGCTTAACTCTATTTGTGCATATGATTTATTTATTTTGGAAGCAGGTCTGTCAGTAAAGGTCAGGTTAGCTTGAGGAAGTAGCGTGTGCTGGACAAATATAATTTATTTGCCTTTAAATCCGTCATCTGAGGGTAGCTGTTGGTGACAAAAATGATTAGTGCAAGACCTAGACAGGTTTTTAAAAATACTCTTTTTCGTGAAGAATGGTAGCTACTTACTTAACAGGGTAATGTAAGAGTTTCTTCCTGCACTTGTAAATTAACAGAATTAGGCATTAAGCCTGGAAATTCAATTTTCAAGATGTATTTTTAATAGTGCAAGACATTTTGTTTGCTGTTGATGTAGGGTGAGAGAACTCCAGAGCTGTTGGGACTGTGGGATCAATGAGAACTAGGCAGCGCTCCACAAGCATCAGTCACAGAAGGGAGATCCCCTAGTCCAACCTCCCTGCTAAAGCAGGTTCACCAAGAGCAGGTTGCACAGAATCACAGCCAGGTGGGTTTTGAATATCTCCAGGAGAGACAACACAACCTCTCTGGGCAGCTTGTTCAAGTCCTCTGTCATCCTCAAAGTAAAGGAAATATTTCCCTTGTATTCAGATGGTGCTTTTGTGTTTCAGTTTGAGCCTGTTGCCCTTACGACATGGCTGGGTACCACTGAAAAGAGTCATGTAGAATGAGAGTATTACAAATTCTGAGAATTTTAAAGATAGCTTGCAAAATCATTACAGTATTTTTGTTACATCTTCTTTATGTCCACTTACTGGTGGCTCCTTGTTGTGTTTCAAAGCACGTCACATATGTTAGAGCATGGTGCTAGTCATGGGTTTGATTCCTCTAGGGGTCATCACTTCAGAGCTGGGCTTGATGATTCTTGTGGGTCCCTTCCAGCTTGGAAGATTCTGTGGCTATATTAATGGCAACAGCTCAAGATCTTGGGTGTTTTGCTCATGATCAGTACCAGTGTTCCTGGCTGTGGCAGTGACTGCCAGCGTGTGCTGCTTCAAAATGAAGATTAATATTCTAGAAAAACGGCATGTGTTTTATTTGTGTATTTTGTCTCATGCCAGCATAGATGTTACACATTTAATTGTTGTGTCCTATTTTGTTATTACACTCAGGCCCTGAACAATAGAAAGTATTGAATGCCACAGACTCATGTGTCTTCTCAAAAAAAACCTAGTGATTTTTGATTGCTGTATTATTTAACATATTGTTAGTCACCCTCTACTGAGAAATGGATACATAGAGCACTTAACAATTCTGCTTATTGTCTTTCTTTTGTATCTTGCTAAAGGTCTTGCAGGTCTCCAGAGTCCTAAAGTAATGAATCCCTCCCAGTTGACATGACTGGTGATATCACAAACAGTGATAATGGCTGGAGACTCAGAACTGCTGAGCTAGATGAATTGGAGATACAAGTGGGGAATGCTGGAGGAAATTTTGATGGAGAGCATTATTTCTGCTTGTGGTGATGGGTATGGATAATAAGGGGATAACTAATGTGACTTGCCCTGAATGTGCCATATTTTTTATTCCCATTGAAAGCTCAGTTCTTACATGCAGTGTACTCTGCTGACTATACTGAAATAGGAGATGCATGATCTGAGAGCTCTGGTCTCAACTCTTAAGCTGTGCCTGTGAAGAGAAAACTTTCTATGATATGCCACCCTAGAAAGTTTTTGGCTCATGTAACCAGAAGGGAAGGACTCTGGAGGAGTAATAGAGTGTTGGCTTGACAGGCTTGATAGTAAGTGGGGAAAAAAGAGAATAAGCATTCAGTAAACAAGCTGGACTCAATGATCTTAAAGGACTTTTCCTAAACGATTCTTAATTCTAAATGTGGGCTAGTAAGGTTGAATTAACCCATCCCCAAAAGATTTTGGCCACATAAAACAGACAGTGCTTTTGCTGTTCTGAAGTTTGCAACTCTTTATAGTTATTTAATAAACAACCTGGCAATTCCATACTGAGAGAGCAGATAGGAAAATTTCTGAGTTCGTCTAGCTCATTGAAGTGGAAAACACAATTACTAGCTTGAGTTACTGGTAAAACAAAAAGGTGGGATTAAGAATGTGTTGACTCATCTGCAGGTGGTTCAGGGTTGTAGTGAAAATTGGTTGCAGAACATAGGAAATGACCTAGAGAGAGATGAGTCAATGTTGAATTATGAGGACTTCAGTTGCAATGTGTATGCAGTGATGGATTGGCGTACAAAGACTCTCAAAAGCTTTGCAACATCAGGGAGTATACAGAAGATGTGCATAATTTAAACTTATATTTTGTATCTCACTAGAATAGAATTCCCCACTGAACTCAAAATTGGTTGCTTGGTGATCTGGTTTATTTTGTATTGGTTGGGTCTAATCTCTCTCCTACAATGCAGAGATTTGTGGTTTTGGGTATATGTCAGACCCTATCCCCTCTTCCTCAGCTGTTTTCCCAAGGCTATGAGGAGTAAGAGTAGGTAAATTGAATGGAAATTATTAAGAGTTGAGTGGTAGAATTATTCTGCTGGTATTTGGTCTCAATCTGAAATATTTAGCAGTCTCAGGAAATGAGAACAGTGCTACTTTTTCTGTTTGGACTCTCAGGTGAACTTCAAACAGTAAATGAGTTACCCATTCTGAGCGTGGTACTACTGCTAGATACTTGCTGGTGTTACTGGGTTAGCCTGGATCTTCATCTATGTATACATGGGTTTTGTTTAACACATGTGTTAGTTCTCTCTCATGCTCCGTAGTCACTTGAAATAATTACAAGATTATCTAACTGTGCAGTCTGGTGACTCAAACTGTTCTGTGTCTGACTCAAGTAATCTGGAAATCTGCTTTGAACTCCTGCTGAAGAGATGTGGGATGGGGAAATACTGCTTTTAATGTAGAGCTTTGCAAATTTACTCTTGGTTGTTAGTATGTTGTCGAGTCTTTTAAGAACGCCAAAATTGAACAATTACTCTCATTAAAATTATTGTTGAGCAACAAAGCCACCTTTTGGTTCTTAAAAGAAATCACACCTGATCAGAACTTAGAAAAAAACTATGACTAAAATGGTGTTAGTTTCTCCAGGTAGTTTTATATGAGAAGAGTAATCAGGAATGTTTGTGACTACAAGTCACTTTTGGATTTCTTACCTTTGTGGTCAATATCTTAGCTTGTTTTATTCCTCAGCTGCAGTAGAAAAGTAATTAGTAATCACTAGTTTTATGCCAGAGCAGCAGATTGTTTGCCATGGGAAAAAGAAAATCTGATTTCACTCTATTTCTTTCTGATAGTGTGGATAAGCTGTTTCTTTTAGGCAAATCCTTGGAATTATCTCTTATTCTATGCATCTTGAAGAGTGAGATTTTTCTGAGGTTTGTCTCAATGCCAAATACCAAAAGATACTAAAACACCAGTAATGTTGGTGTTGCATTTTTGTATTTCCTTGGTTTGGCAAGTATTTATTTTGGTTTGTCTTTAGTTCAACAAAAGGCCAGCAGGAGGAGCTTTCAATTTCCAGAAAGGAAGAGAAGATTTGAAGTGTAATTTTGCAGATAGGTAAAGACAAGTGGTTGGGATGCTTGTCTGAAGTACTTGCAGAGAGATGACAGCAGTTAAAACTTGGCTGACCACACATATGTGTGCGAAGTGGAATCTACAATATAAAATTACCTGAATACAGTGGAGATACTGAGATCTGAAAAAAGAGAGTTCAGAGATAAAACATGTAGAGTTGGACATTTAATTAGAAATGACCAAATGCACAAATGCAGGATGTGGGGTGTGTGTGTAGCAGACCTTAGGAAGAAAATGTGTGGGTTGTTTTGG